CCACCAAGAGCATTCGGCACCCCCATCTACTCAGCGAAGGAACACGCCAGAGTCCCGTTCATCGGGCCTAGGGCCCGGCACCGACCCTCAAGGCGTCCAGATGAGCTCTGACAGTCTCAAATCCGCCAAACCGGGACCCGATCGAGTCCCAAGGAAGACGCTGATTGGTGCCAACAGCAGGCGCAGCAAGCGTCTGAGAAGGACGCTGTAGCCCACGGTGGCCCGGCTCTCACATGTCTCTGTTCCGACCCGTCTGGGCCCCGACCCCCACGTGATGAGAACTCAACGCCTGGCGAGAAATGTGAGACCTGTGGCAAGGCCGATGAGGCGGGCCCTTTGCACGTATGCGAATCGTGTGACCACGCTTACCACGGCTCATGTCTGGACCCGCCACTGAAGCAAAAAGTCGACCCCGAATGGAACTGTCCGCGCTGTCTAGTAGGCGATGGGCAGTATGGATTTGAAGAGGGCGGCCTTTATTCGCTACGTCAGTTCCAACAAAAGGCTGCCGACTTCAAACAAGGGTTCTTCGAACGAAAGATGCCATACGATTCGGTCCTGAAGTGCCACCGACCAGTGACCGAGGAGGATGTTGAAACCGAATTCTGGCGCCTAGTTGCAGACATGGAAGAGACGGTGGAGGTCGAGTATGGTGCCGACATCCACTGTACGACACACGGCTCTGGCTTCCCAACCGTAGAGAAGCATCCAAAGAACCCATACTCAACCGATCCTTGGAACCTGAACCTCTTGCCACTGCATCCTGAGAGTCTGTTTAGGCATATCAAGTCCGACATCTCGGGCATGATGGTTCCCTGGGTCTACGTGGGCATGATCTTCTCAACATTCTGTTGGCACAACGAAGATCACTACGCGTACTCGGCCAACTACCAACACTTCGGCGCAACGAAGACGTGGTATGGTATCCCCGGGGAAGACGCGGAGAAGTTTGAAGCGGCGATGAGAGAGGCTGTGCCTGAGCTGTTCGAGACACAGCCGGATTTGCTCTTTCAGCTCGTCACACTTCTGACTCCGGAGCAACTCAAGAAGGCTGGCGTCAGGGTCTTCGCGTTGGACCAGAGAGCCGGACAATTTGTCATTACTTTCCCCCAGGCATATCATGCTGGCTTCAACCATGGCTTCAACTTCAACGAGGCCGTCAACTTTGCCCCCTGCGACTGGGAACCGTTTGGTCTTTCCGGCGTGACCAGGCTTCGCGACTTCAGGAAGCAGCCATGCTTTTCGCACGACGCACTTCTCTGGACGGCAGCCGAGGGAACAGCAACAAACGGCCTCACCATCCAGACGGCAAAATGGCTAGCACCAGCACTTGAGCGCATTCACGAGCGTGAGCTCGCAGCTCGAGCAGACTTTATCTCGAAACATGTTCAGTCGCAAGGGCATAAGTGCAGTCTCACGGGCGCCAACAACAGTGACTGCCCGCTTGCGTTTGAGATTGAGGAAGCTGACCTGCCTTTAGAGGATGACTACCTCTGCTCTTACTGCAAGGCGTTCAGCTATCTATCGCGATTCAGATGCACCAAGACGGGCAAAATTCTTTGCCTGCTACATGCCGGCCAGCATGCGTGCTGCGACGTACCCGAGTCCCAGCGCTATCTTGGTGAGCAACACGTGCTCCTGTATCGCAGGGCCGAAGATGTTATTGCCGCAACCTTCGCCAAGGTGTTGGAGAAGGCGCACACGCCTGAGGCCTGGGAGGAGAAGTACGACAAGATGCTTGAGGAAGAGGCGACACCGTCTCTCAAGTCGTTGCGTGCTCTTCTTCACGAGGGCGAACGCATTCCCTACGATCTCGTTTCGCTGCCTTTACTGCGAGAGTTCGTCGATCGATGTAACGAGTGGGTGGAAGAGGCAACAAACTACACTGTGCGCAAGCAGCAGAACCGGCGCAAGAGCGACAAGGGCCTGACGAATCGTAAGAGTTCCGTTGCGGACCAGAAGGAAAGAGACGCCCGCGATGTGAGCAACATTTACCGCCTGCTTCAAGAAGCGGAACACATTGGGTTCGACTGCCCTGAGATCCTTCAACTGCGCGAGCGAGCCGACGGCATCGAAACGTTCCAGAAAAACGCAAACAAGGCTTTGGAGCACTTGCACACAGCCACGGCAGAAGTCATTGAGGAGCTCCTCGAAGAGGGCCGCTCTTTCAATGTTGACATCCCCGAGGTCGGCCGACTGTCGCGTATCCTCGATCAGCTGAACTGGAACGACAAGGCGCGCCGGAGCCGCAGCGTTGTCCTCAATTTGAATGAGGTCAAAGAGCTCATCGAAGAGGGCCAGCGTCTGGAGATACCATCCTACAACGACCATCTGACTTACTATCTCGACCAGATGCATGCCGGGCAGGTATGGGAGAAGAAGGCGCGCGAGCTCATCTATGCGGAGGCTGTGCACTACGCCCAGTTGGAGGCCCTCTCCACGCAGGTCACGGTCAATTCGCTACCAGTCTCTCAGGAGACCCTGGCCGCTGTGGATGCCATTCTGCACAAGCAGCGGGAAGCCCACCGCCAGATCCTAGACTTGACCGAGAGATCGCGTCATCCCGACATTCGCAAACGACCCAAATACACTGAAGTGGCTGAAATCATGCGAAAGCTGGAAGACCTCAACTCGAAGCCCAACGGTACGTTGGATCTCGGTCGCGAGCAAAAGCGTCACGAGGACTGGATGCGCGAGGGCAAGAAGCTATTCGGCAAGACAAACGCCCCTCTGCATATTCTCAAGAGTCACATGGAATATGTCCTCGAGCGCAATCAGGATTGCTTCGATATTGTCAACGACAAGCCGCGGACTCCAGCCGAACCCGCATCGCGAGAAGCAAGCCCGGAAGCCAGGGCCAGCCGTTTCGAAGATTCTCGTGTGCGCGAAGTTTTTTGCATCTGTCGCAAGGTCGAGGCCGGCATGATGATCGAGTGTGAATTATGTCATGAATGGTGAGTGTTCACTGTCGTCATCTCGACAAATCTATGTGGCTAACGAACGTAGGTACCACGGAAAGTGTCTCAAGATTGCTCGCGGCAAGGTCAAGGACGAGGACAAGTATACCTGCCCCATCTGCGATTGGCGTCTGAAGGTTCCACGAGATGCCGCCCGACCAAAGCTCGAGGATTTGCTTGCGTGGGCCGACAAGATCAACAACCTTCCCTTCCAGCCGGAAGAGGAAGAAGTTCTGCAACAAATCATCGACAACGCGCAAGAATTCCGCAATCATGTCGCGGGCATTTGCAACCCGCTCGTGTCGACCAAATCAGAGGCAGACACGCAGCGATTCTATCTCCGCAAGATCGAGGGTGCCGAGATCCTCCTCGCCTACGAAACCAACTTTTTCAGACAGGAATTGCACAAGTGGTGCCCCGTCGCCCCGAACCCGCCGCCGGTACTGGAGGTGTCTAAGAGCACGCGCAAGCCACGCCCTACGAAATTGCAGAAGCTGCTGGCGCAGTACGGCGTTGATGACCCAGAGGACCTTCCCGAGAACATGAAGCAGAAGGCCGCCAGCTTGATACGCAAAGCACAAAATGCCGAGGCTGCCGCTAATGCCCACGCAGCCGGTGTTGCGGCGTCGGCAGCCGGGGCACGGGTCCCCCCGGGTCAGTCATGCATCCAATGTTTGGCCATAAATCACACCAATCGTCCGCCACACCACCGAGCATTTCCAATGGCGAACGCGTCGGAGGCAGCCGGCATTCGACAACAAGCAAGGACGATGCCATGGATATCGATAGCGGACCAACGCTGCACCCAGGCCTCTTCATGCCCAACGGAAATGGAGGTCCACAGCTGGTCCACGACAACTCATCCATGTCGTTAGAGGATCGACTCAACAACGGCCAGGAGGACGGCCTCAACCTGCTTGATCCGGGCCAGAGGAGTAAGGCTCTCGAGATCCTAGGCAGGACGGATGTCGGGCGCAAGAGGGCCGAGGAAATGTACGGCCCAGGCGTTTGGAACGAGAACAAGGGCCTTCGACAGAGTCCAGCCACGGGTGCAACAGGAGGACCTCAAGACGAGCGCGCTGTGGATAAAATGTTCGAAGACCTGACGAACCACGACGATGACGGGCGCAAGGGCAGGGAACCATTCGACGGGTTTGTACCGACAGCGGAGAGTTTTGAAAATGAGCGCAACGGGATGGACGCGCTGCTAGACGGCGAGTAGGGCGGCTGTCAAGAGAGATGAAATTAATGTTACAGGAGTGAGTGGTATGGGAGTTTGTCTTGGCGTTGCGGTCACATTATTTCAAGGGGGTGTTGAATTGGTGGAGCGGCGCTGCCTGGCCTTGTTGTTTGTTGTATGATAATGGGCACAACCGGGACGGCGTGATTAGATTCAAATTATTTTGGTTCCTGTTTCGAATTAGCTACCTATGCAATATATCTGTATCATTGCGATCACTGTTCACAAGGTCTTCAGCTGCAACTTGATGTATCTCGGTCGTTCGCTGATTGATGTTTACATCTTTGTTACCACATGCCGCTCTGGCCTCAGTCTGCCTCTTCGTCATCTGAATCCGTCTTGTGCATGGCCTGGGCCCTCTTCTTCACCCACGCGTCACATCCAATCTCCTCATATCTCGGCGCCTCCCCGTCCTTCAGACAGCTCTTGATGACAGCACAACTCTCATGCAGCCCGAAGCCGAAAAAGAAGGGCATGCTGATCCTCTCCCTGCCGCTGCGGTTCACAGCCCGATGGACCGTGCTCACGTACAGGTCATTGGTGATGCGCTGCAGGTAGTCGGCAATGTTGACGACAAAGGTGCCCGGCACCGGCGACGCGCGGATCCACTGCCCGTCGCGGTTGAGCACCTGCAGCCCGCCGACGTCGTCCTGCCACAGCATGGTGAACAGCTGGAAATCCGTGTGCGAGCCGATTGAGACTTCGGCCGGGCCGTCGCCCCCGTTCGCGGAGGCCGAGGGCCCCTGCGCCGCCGCCTCGGGCAGGGACGGGTAGTAGTTCAGCGCGAGCGCGGCATTCGGGAAAGGCGAACTTGGC